CCTGAGCTACAGAAGAGAATAGAGGATTGGAGTTTCAGGAGTTGGGAGGTATTGGCGATTCAAGTTATGAGAGGATGAGGGGTGGGACTGTGTGGTGAATCAAAGTTACCTAGTTGTGCAGGTAAAGTGGATGAGGTAAGTTGTGTTGGAGCAGCTCTCGGAAGAGGTGACCCAGCATACTGTCAGTCTTCAGTCTCTTTGCCTGTAATTTGACTTGATTCATGACAGTTGAGTTTTTTGGGTGATCTGTCTTTAAGCAGATAGGGGAGCGCAGAGAAAAAGCCTCTTCCTGCATCTGCTGTTCTCCAAGGGCCTTCAGTTCAAAGAATAATATTTTGGGGTAGCATTTCCTAAACTTCAAAAAAAGGGCTAGGTTTGGTAAGGCCTTTGGGTTGAGTATTTTTTTTTTTTTTCTGGATCTGGATGAAAAGTCATAAATACTGTAATTGGTTTTGGGATAATGTTATCAAAAGCACTGAGAATTTTTCTTCATAATCCCTGGTCTTAGCTAGACTGCTATTTAATGATTATGTAAATATATGGGGAAGGTCTTAAAAAAAACTATGGGAATACAATTATGAAAAAACCATGTATTTTGAAAATGTTTTGCACCAAAACACATTTGTACTTGAATTCCATTTTCCCATAAACTTTTTGAAGTCTGTGTGCATCCAGTGTTGTGCGAAGTAGAAGTTTGTTCGTTCGTTTCTTTTTTTGTGAGAGATTTTCACTATAGGCTGTGTGTGCTCTCCAAAGAGACAGAAAGCGAGAAATCATTTCCCCAGGGGATGGCCACACCACAATCCCTTCTTCATTCTCCACTTGGGATCCTGGGCATGCACACACATGCGCCTAGTGTGAAGTTTTTCTTTTTTTTTTTTTAAGGGAGAGATTTTTGCTATAGGGAGCATGCACTCGGCAGAGAGACAGAAACTGAAACAGACAGAAAGTGAGAAATCACCCCCCCAGGGGAATGGCCACACTGCAATCCTTTCTCCTCTGTTCCCCTCTTGGAATTTTGGACATGCACACACACGCACCCAGCGGGAGTTTTAGATTGCTAGGTCCGGGACTCAAACTGCAGTCGACTATGTGGGAGTCCAGCAATGTAACCATTATGCCATCTGCTAGTTCCTGGCATGAGTTTTAAGCCATCGAGTCTTGGAGTCATACTGCAGTCAACTACGTGAGAGTCCAGTGCTATAATCATCGTGCCATCCACTGGTCCCCAGAAGTTATTTTTCATTGCCGTGTAGTAGTATGTTGTATAAAAATGGCATGGTTCATTCTAGCAGTAGACATGTTGGCTATTTCTAGTTATTATATTAGCTAGTATAAGTAAAGCCACTGTATATAGTTTTTTTTCCCACTGTATATAGTATTAGAACATAAAATGTGAGGAGGCAAGTGCTAAGAGGCTAAATAAGTAGAAGCCAGGCCATTAAAAATGTTACATGCTGGCAGAGGATTTTTGATTTTATCATATGATCATGGAGTTCTCTGAATTTAGAAGAAGGGGATGAAATGAACTGAATTGTAAAACCTGTCTAAAAACAGTAAATAATGGATGGGGGAGGCACAAGGGATAATGGATAGTAGGAAGATAGTGATGTAGAGCAGATAAAAGACGAATGTCTGAATCTAGGGTAGTGATTAGAGGCACGGAGGTGAATTATTTAATGCAAAATCTACTAGACTTGGTGACAATTGGACTGTAAGGCATGACTTGTTTCTGGGTTGGAAAATGTATTGATAGTATAATCTAGTCTCATTCACTATTTGTAAAGCTTAGATGATTCTATTCAGGATGGGCACAGGTTTGAGGTGAGTAGATGGTTTTAAATTTTGAGTTTTGTGTAGGGTTTGATTCTGGGACATTTCAGTCCAAGTCTAGAGAAGGTTATATATGAATGTTCCCAGGAGCACTGTCTGGGCTCAAGGTAAACTTGTCAGCATATAGCAACATGGGTGTAAAGCCCTGGACACTTAAGAGAATGACGGTAGGAAGGAAGAAGTTTAAGTACTGAGCCCTAGGAAAGTATTAACTTTTTTTTAAAGAATTATTTTATTTAACTTTATTTGTTTATTTACTTTTTAATATGTCCAGAGAGGGACAAAGTGAGAGAGAGAGAAAGTGAGAAAGCAAAACACCAGGTCCAAGACTCAAACCGTGATTGGCCATGTGGGAGTCCAGTGCCCTTAACCACCACACCATTTGCGGGCCCCAAGGGAAACATGAACTTTTAAGATGCTAGTAGAATAGTAGACTGAAATATCTGGTCAGTATTGTCAGGGGCCACAGAGAGAGAGAGAATGTCAGATAGGAATCAGTTGGATTTAATAATGAAATTAATGATTTTGAGAAGATTAAGACTGAAGAGCTGAATGTTCTGTCATTCTGTGGCAAAGGAGCTAAAGACAAAAGTAGAAAAAATGGAAAAGTCTTCAAGGAGAGAGATCAGTAATTTTGCTTAAGTTTATATAGCTTAGAAACAGTAGTTAAGTCACTGGGCTCCAGGGGTCAGGGTCATCCTTTGAAGAAGGGGGAAGGATTGGGAATAGATGACAGCATTAATGGCTTGGTAGCTGACTGTCTGAGGTAGCTTTGTTGAGAGTCCAGCTGAGATTGGTTAACACAAACATGTAGTCGTCAGTGCTTGGTGGTTAGGTGTTTTTTCCTCCTGCTGTGCTAGAAAGTTTCAGAAGGAAGGAGGATTGATACTACTGGTTTATCTGTGATTGGGAATTAACTCTGTGATTCTTGGAAAAAGTAAAGTGGAGGGACCACCAGGTGACATAGTGGTCAAGCCGCTGAACTTTGCCGTGGCCAGCTGCTGTTTGAGCCTCCTACCCAGAGGCTTGAAAATCATACTGAGTGTATGTACTTGTATGTCCAAGATCCCAAGAGAAGAACGGAGAAGGGATTGAGGTTATAGTCCAGCACCTTAACCAGTATGCCACTTGCTAGCCCCAACAAATCATTATTTTTAACTCTTACTTGGTTTTATAATATCGTTTGTTGCTTATTTAAAATAAATTATTTTTTGTTTGTGTTCTGTAAGTTTGTATATCATATTTTTAAGTTCCTGCTTAGTGGGTTTTTTTTTTTTTTTT